TTGTTCTGGTTATTTTGATATGATTGTAGCTGAGGACAATTAGGATGGATATGATCTGGCTTATCACAATTATAACAGGTTGAAACTGGTTTAGAATTTTGATTATTAGACCTATAACCTGAATTATTTCTGTTATAACTTGATCCTTTACTGATTTCAATACTTTTTATTTGCTGTATAACAATTTGATTAGATTATCTTCCTTTAGATCTCTTTTATCTTAGATCTTCATTTTGCGCTATCTGTATAATAGATTAGTTTTGTATTACATTTTTAAGAAGATCATTTTCATTCTGGATATATAGATGATCATTATGTATTAAATACATCTAGATTTAGCAAATTAACATAGAAGATTTGAAGAATTCAATCTTGAAGATAAAGTTCTTCTCTTCACTTATAATATAGAATTATTAGTAGATAAATAAAGAATAATCAAGAAACTTATACTAAAGTTTATAGATCTCTTTTAGATTATCATCTTTTATTACTTACAAATTGTAACTACCACATAATATAAAATTGCATCTGGTATTTCATATTTCACTACTAAAGAAATATAACTCTGATGATAAATTCAAAAAATACCAATTACTACTAGCAATTATTATATCAGATAATGAAGAAGAATATGAATTTAAGAATATTCTTAATAAAGAATTCATTATTGCAAATTCTAATATCTTATTAAATAACTAGATTATTCTCTCTATAATACAACATGGGAATCTCTTGATAACTTGAAAAATATCATGAAGAAGATTAATATCTTTGAAAAATCATGTACCTTGAAATAATAAGAATATTATACTTTAAGTAGAAGAATATATAGCAATTTTGATTAGGTTATTTTCCTTTAGATTTCTTTTAGTTTAGATCTTCATTTTGTATTATCTGTATAACAGATTAGCTTTGTATTATATTTCTAAGAAAATTATTTTCACTCTGGATATACAGATGATCATTATATATTTAATATATCTAGATTTAGCATATTATTACTCAGATAATTACTACTATATGTATCATAATTATTAATTTAGATTATTAATATTTTTAATTAATTATTTCTTTATATTTTTATTTATTCTTCTTATTATTTATAATTATTATTAATTATTGGATTATGATTAGTTATTCTCTAGAAATGCAAATTAAGTTAATTAATTCTATTCAATCTATATATATTTTATTTATAGATTATTATTAATTTATTCACATTTTATATTCATTTTTTTTATTATAAATATAACCTGTCTATTCTATAAAATAACTTCAGATCTGAATACTTTTAAATAATAAATACCAATCATAAGTTATAAAATTAAAACTTATTTATATTGCATTTTATCTTGTTTATAATTGTTAACAAAATAATCTTACAAATATTCTTTTTTTCATCCAGTTTTATTTCTTTAACTATACAAAGTTGATTTTGATTTGCTTATAGTATTATATTAATTTTTAATATTATTTTATATTTTAAAGAGTAAAAGATCTCTATTATAAATAAGTCATACTTTTTATTCTATTTATTTTATTATTTTTAAGAGTAAAAAATCTTTACTATAAATAAGCCATATCTCTTTTAGTTATAATCTTTTTTGATTAATAGTAGCTTTACAATTTAATTATTTTAAATCTCAAATTATAATTGATTGATAGTGACTTTACTAATTAATCTTTATAATTTCTTTTAATTTATATTATTTTTTTATTATTTATTTGTCTCTTTTAAAGATAATATCCATAGATATTGATATAGATCTTAGAAATCTTTGTCAATATTAAAGTTATAGTCTAATTTTTCTCTCTTTATTTATTATTTAATTCAGTCTCTTTCAATCTAATATTATTAAGATGAATTCAAGTGAAAACTCACTTATCAGATTTATTATAATAATATATAATAGATAAATATTATTGAATTTATAAATTTATTACATATATATTTATATAAAAATATAGTATGTGACAAAAAAACTTAATTATTTGCTAATTATAAATAAATATCTTTAATTTTAGTTTAATTTATATCATTTTTTACTGAATTAAAATTAAATAACAGATTTATTTATTATACTTATTAAATAAATTCTTGTAAAATTCACTGTCAAAATATTACTTATTACTTACAAACAAAAGATATATAACTTATTATATTATTGAAATGAAGATATCTATTCTGTATCTAAACTATTTAAACTGATCTCAATCCTATAAAAAATTTATAAGTCATTATTAAGAATAATATTAAGAAATAAATATCTAAAAATTTGAATATTTTAAAGAAGTTTTTGATAAAAAAATAGGATTCTATTTTAAAAATCATTCTAAATGATTTAATAAATTTGATAAGATATTATTATAAGTTAGTTATTGAAAGCAAAGATAAATAAATTAATTTTCAAGCCTAATAAATTTTATTCTATAACTTTTTTGCTTTTAAATGATATATTAATTACCAAATTTAATGTAATATTCATGAATTTAGTATAATTAAGTTTTTTTTGTCACACTGTATATATATATAATGAATGATATTATCTTAATTCCTTGTTCTGATACAAAATACATTACATAATTTTGAAGAAAGCTATATTATATATATGAATAATTGTATATTAACATATAGAGTCAAATAAAATTTTATTTATTGTAATATATATATATTAGCATAAAAATATGCTTTTTTAAATGATATGTGATTTTTTATTTGCTTTCAAAGAAATAAAGATAGAATTCATTATTTATTCTTAATCATGTGATAGATTAAGAGTATAAATGCTGAAAAATTTTGATTAAATAATGGAATGACAAAGAAATTTTTCAAGAAATGACAATTTAATATTATTCATGTAAAATAGATGTAGGACTAGTTTGAAAAAGAATGGTGATAAGACTTCATATAAAATGAATAAAAAAATGTGATTTCTTATCAATGTCATTTTTTTTGTAATGGTATAAAATACTATACATGTCAAGTCTATTAAATTCATGTAGTTATTTTGATGCTTAGAGAATATCATAATAATTGACATTTAACAATAATAGTCTTCACAATAATTAATATCCCATGCTTCATGATAATATCCTTTGCAATAATTAATATCTGACATTATGTAATTACTGTAATTGTAATAAATCACTTTAAAACTATCATTAAAATAATTAATTAATGTTTGAACTCTGTAATAATGTTTAATATTTTGAAGATCATAATTAACATCTGATATTAAATGTTTTTCGAGTTTTGTTGTCTCAAAAAAGAATGATCTGAAACCTCCCAATCACCAAATAACATATTAGTAATTCCTATAGAAAATTCATTTCCATAAAAGGCGAATAGTTGACATTCCAACAAAAAACAAAAACAGAATACTAAAATTAAAAAAGGTAAAGATATTAACTTGTAAAATTCTTTACTTGCACGTATATCCTTCTTGTTACTCATCTTAGATCTTGCATACAAGTGGTTTTTATCTCTTGTGTCTAACATAAATTATATTGGATGAATTCATTCTAAATATACCAAGTATATACCGATAAATTATCTAGCGGAGATAAAGATATTGCTACCATTAACATTAATGTTTCCTTAATTACGCCAAAAACCCTCTTTCCGAAGTGACCTGAAGAAAAAAAAATAGCAAATAACAGAAAAAATAGAACTTACCAAAACAAAATAACTCCTAAATATCGTAATCAAGCATATATATTTCGGACATTTTTCTTATTTCCAATTATTACAATAATAATAGAAATTAATCCATTTTAGTAATAATTAACACATAAAAAATAATAAATCATGGTTGGATAAATCCTATCATCCCGTACACTTAATTATTTGTTTAGTACAGTATTTGAGACAATGTTCGGTACATTATTCAGCACAAAATTTGTTACAATGTTCCAATCATTTGGTAAATGTTTTGATCATTCTGTAATTAGAGCATCTTTAGTATTGTTAGTCCAAAACATGTACCAATCATAAATGTATATATAGATACATTCTTGAGCCTCCAATCAAGTCAAGCTATAATAAATTCAAAAGTAATTGAAACAGCGTTACCTCTCACTTGTATTATTGGGCCAAGAAACTAATTTACAAAAAGAAGTAGACACAAAGCAAATTCAACAATACGCTAAGCAAATCAACAGTTGGACTTCTCCAATGTCAACAAACAGAAAGTTTCAAGGCAAATACATCTTTAATACAATCATGAGTATTTATTGTGAACTATACTCTCATCGCAGTAGCTATTATCTTCGTCACGTTCATTACAATGATGTGTATTCAGTTCCTCTTTAAATTCACTTTATAAAATGCAAATTGCTTGAATGATAGTAAAGCAAATGAGATAATCGTAACATCGCTAGATATAAGTGTAGTGATCACCAAAAAAGTGACCCATAAATCTAAAATGAAACAAAGAATTTTTGAAAAAGACGCATCTTCTACTCTATTGCAAGGGAATCAGCGAGAAATTGAAGCACTCCAAGAAGATCATTGAACTTAAACCTACAAATATGGGTTGTACAGTCAAAGCTCTATATAACGATGGATCAGGTCCAGGCTCAAAAAATTCGGTTTAAACAATGCTTTTTATTATACTCAGAAAATTCGTAATAACCAAATCTTGCTATATAAAGTGATTGTTATATAGAACTTTGAATGTATAATAATGTCCATAGCATTTGATTGATAACAACAAATGACAATAGATTCTTCAATCTAAAACCAAAATAAAATGCTAATAAGAATGTTCGTTTTGCTGTTCTTAAATATATATTTCACATAAAAATGACAGCTAAACATCAAATCCTCCAGTCATAAGACAATTGATCTAGGGATTGATCGCTTGTATAATTAAACCACGGCATATTGTGACCAATCAAAAATTTTTTATTTTGATAATACATGTACAATTCAAGCATAGTCTAATACTAACGCCGCCAAGCTTTTGAAGATACTTAGTTTAATGTACAGGCATATGTATTCATTGCAGATATTGATCGACCAATGCTTTTACTTGCATACAAGCTTCTAAAGCAGAAGTATCTCTAGCCTTAACTCGAGATCTACGATGTTTGCGACTTTTGTTTGTTGATGTTGGAGCGTTCGGAAGCGTAGTTGGAGTGTCTGTACGTGGGGACTCTACTTTGTCCCAAAGATATTCAAATGTGCCTGCCCAGGCATCGCTAAATTAACGCATAAAATGAGTAAATACACCTTTAAGCATTGCATTATACATGTAATTATTAGAGATCGAGCTTTTGATTTTACCGTCTAGTCAGGAATTTTGGGAGACCAAAGATCTTTTTCAATGTGGCCAGAATTGAAGTATGCTCAAAGTAAGAGCCTTTTTTCGGAGGATCATGAACAACTTGAACAGATATGTTTAATATTATTGTTAAAATAAATAGATCTTTGAAGCTTGAAATAAAACCTAACAATGATTTTTCTTACTTATTCCTTTTTTAATCCAAGGCGAAATCAAAAGCGTTGGTACACGAATTCCAAGACGATCGAAATTGAAGATTGGTGCAGTGACATTATCTGGCGGTGGAACATTAGATGGTGGCGGGACATTGTCGTAGAATCCGCCTAATTTGAGAATATAATTTTTTAATAAAAGCACCATAGAATATGAATCAATTAAATGTTGATTTAGATACCATGTTCGTCCCAAGTGATTATAAATAAAGAACTGTTCCATTGAGGTGAGGCACGCAAAGCTTCATAAATTGTTTTAATAAATGGTTCGCCGTTTGCAACGCTGTAAGGTGGATGCTCGTCATTAGGTTCACTATCAAAGCAAGGCCAGCCTGCAAAAGTGCTGTTTCGTCGCCAAAATTTTAAAAAAAACTTAATCAATTATAAATACGTTTTCATTAAATTTGAATATGAACTTACGGATTAACAACACTGTATTGCGGTAGAGTTCCAGCTTTAGCGTCTGCGAAAAACACTTCCAACTTTTTCATCTTCGAGTATCCAGACTTTGTTTGAAGGCTCTTGGCAAAGAGCAACTCCGGGAATATGGAATAATAATTTTTCCAAGTAATGTTTTTCTGTAATTATAAATCACGTCTTCATTTTAAATATTATTAAAGGTAAAAAAAAAATAACAAGTAAATATTTATTATACTTCGTCAAGATTATCGTAAATAGATCTTTGTTCAAATGGACTTGCGTCGCTAGTAGTTTCATATACACCATTTGAGGTTGCCGTGTGAATATACAATCGATTAGGCGTAGTTGGACCAGGAACGCTCGCATACCATCCATCAAACAACGCGAAATTCTTTGCCAGCTCGTATGTGACCGGCAAATCAGTTGGCTTGAAAGCATTCATAATATGTTTCAATCTTGCGACATCAGTCTTGCTAATATTCAAGTCTCGTGCAAAATTTTGTAGGAAACCAGACATTGGCGGAACACCGATAATTGGAGTTCTGGGATCCCCTCCTTGTATGCCAGTAATTTGCTCGTAAGTATCGGGAATAGTGTGACCTGGGTCATCTGGATCGACGTAGGCTGCATCATTAGTAGCGTAAAGTTTTAGGCTATTTGGGTCTTTAGTATCTAGCAAATTGTATTCTTTGCCGGTTAAACCGCGGATTTCCTTAGAGTAATTAAAATATCCGGCCATTTTTGAGAATGAACGGTTTTCTAGAACCAATAATATTACATTTTTTATTTTCTCGTCAAGCTTATTACTTTGGTTATCTGAAAGAGCTGTTGCCGTAAAGCAACAAAGCAACAAAAAGCTTGAAAGTTCAAACTTCATTATGCAATTAAAAATTGGATTGCGAGTATTGCAAATAAACTTTTTTTCCGTGGATTTATTAGCTATGATCATTGGATTTTCTATTATAGGTATTTGATCGCTTTATCCAATCATCTACCATGTATTTAATACGTTGACTTATTGTACATTTAGCGTTAGCGATCAATTATAACCTATTGGGCTGAAGTAAGATTTGATCCAAAAGTGGTAAAATCAAAAAATTTCTAAATATAGAAATACATGTACATGTACAGGTATATGTACATGTGCATTATCCATGTAGAAGCTGTAATACTTTGAGAACATACTTAAATCGATTGGGATCGGAACCCGGTTAAAGCTTAACCGATTATGATCACTATCTCAAAGTGGTAAACCATGACTAAGAAATTTTTGCGTTCGGATCAAATCATACTTAACTTTCTTCAACCAATATAAACCGGTTAACCGGTTCAACCGCTTAAACTAATTGGTTAACCAGTTAACGTTAACGTTAAGAAAATTTTATCCGGTTATAATCACTATGCGCATGGCCAAATTTTGAATTCACATTCGCATATTCCAATTTGTCGTTTCCATTCCACTAGAGACGGTGCAAACCAAGGTTAAGCCGGGACCAAAATAGTTTGACTTTATTATTAAAATAGTAGTGCAGTTTAAATTGTGGGTTTGTCATAGTTTATTATCTAATGAAGGCAAATTTAGATCGATCATATATCGATATACGATTAAAAATTTGTGGACTCTTATTTGGTTATTGACAAAAATTTGCGCAATTTTTTAAAGGGAACCGAATTGATCGAATTGCAAATATCAATGTGTAATTGGAGAATTCAAAACAAATGTAACAATTGTTTATTTTTAAAATACGTGTACATGAAGCGAAATTTTGCCTATGAAAACTTTCTGTGTTCTAACGAAAAAGATTCCTCGCGAAATTTTTACTGTAAATTTTTACATGCAATATCTTACATACGATATACATGTAATTTTAACCTCAACCCTAACCAAAATGCTGTTTTACCCTTAAAATTACGTGATTTCATCATTTTTAACGATAATAATATGAGCAGCATTTTTTGATGTTTTTTTTTAGTTATTGGTTACTGCCGTAATACATCATTGTTACCTTATTGCCACGTTCTTTTCGAAATGACCGTTCACATGAAATCGTCTTGTGAAAAAATAAAAATATACTTGGAATAATTAATAAAGTATTTATAAAATTTTACAAAAAACAACGTCCAATTAGCATTTAGAACATTTAGTAACGCTTGTTAGCAATTAAAACATTCATCAATAATAATGATATTTTTTATTATAACGACAAAATAATTGGATCATCGATTCCATCCCGCACAGTACAGATTATTTTTGGTACATTGTTTCAATATTTTGACCATTTGGTACAACTAGAGATGTGCCTATGCGCATAGTTACTAACCGATATCGTAAATGCCCATACACAATTATGCATATGGTTAAGTTCA